CCCTCCAGGTCCGTGAGGAAAATCCTGGCCAGCACAGCAAATCCACTTTCCTTTTATTGCTCTGACAAAAAAAAAGGGGGTCCTTATCTCTCTAAACTAGAAGTGTAATGGGAATCAAACAGGGGCCTTCCTCTTCCTTCTACTTATCGTTTCTTTGTCCCTCTAAATTTGTCTCTGTTCCTGGATCTTAACCTCCCACCCCAAGGGCAGGACAGAGCAGGCTGATAAGCTGTCTGCAACCATTGGTATTGAAGCAATTATTCAGCAGCTGCAGCCCTTTGCCGCTGAGCAGAGATTACCATCTCTATCCCTGAGAAAACTATCTCCATGCCTCCCTAATGCATCCTGGCCTGCAGACCTCATTTGTGTCACCTCCTGGCTGAACGACCAAAGTGATGCAGTCCTGAGATCTTTACTGCTCTTTCTTTGAACTCTGTCCTCAAAACAAATGTATTTTTCCCCCTCTTTTTCCTGTCTTGCTTATGTTTAATTCTGTTCATGGGATCACGGGATAGCAACACTCCCACTTGCTTCAGAGAGCTGGTCCTGTGTATTTTCTGTCCTTTGAGAATATATGCAGTGACACAGGCAGACTATTACTGCAAAGAGCTGCTCTGCTACATGTATGCTAATATTGCCTTAGTTAATAGCTCAGATTCATAGCTAATTTCAATGCAGTTGGGGAAATGCCTGCAATATTTCTATGGATTTTTAAAATGATTTGCCTGTAGTTTCTAGGCAAAAATTGTCGCAGAAAGCAGACATTATATTTCAAGATTTGCAAACTCAATAGCCTGGAAGTGTGATCAGTCCCCAAGACTGGGAGTGCAGCCTCAAATGTTTGCATTCACCCTCAGCTCAGAGTTGAAGAAATGTGAGCATCAGTAAATTGTCACCAGTTTAAGCACTGAAGGCAGGGGAGTTCTGATGCATTCCAGAAGTTAAAAGCAGAAATGAGGGTCATCTTTTGGGGTATTGTTTTCAGAATGTGTTTACTGGTACTGTCCCAGTAGCTACCACCATGGACATACTCAGGCAAGAAATAAGAGAACTCACAATAGCTCTTTTCACTTCTATGAATTGATGATAGTTATCCAGCATATGAAATGGGTGCAGTAATAGAGCAACCTGTTGCACTCTCCAGCTCTCCCTCCTGTGACTGCATGGCTTTAAGAAGGTCTTTACCTCTCTGCTTCATCACGTTTGTTTTGTACTGAGATTTCATTATCAAGCTGTTTGGATAAGAACGGGGTGATGAGAAGTGTGAGGAGGCTGCATGTGCAGAAACAGGCAAGACAAAAATCACTCCTGCAGAACTTTCCAGGCAGGAGTTTCCTCTGCTTGAGGCAAGAAAAGCCCTATGGGAATGTCAAATATTTCAGCAGAGAGATTGAAAATACAAATAGTTTCAGCAGAGCAAAAAAGCCCCCTGACACCATTAACACCAAAGCCCTCAGTGGTAACGATGGCAGCTCTGCAGGCAAGATACAATGGACGCAGAGGAAAAATGGGGTTTGCCCCCCCCCCCAAAAAAAAAAAAAAGCATTTGAAAGACCTTAAATCAGCAATTGAGCTTCTGCTTTCCTTTACGCATGGCATGACCTAGACCTGCGCTGCTTTTGGTGCTGCTCCTCCGGACGTGTGTGCATGGGAGCACGGAGAGGCCTGTGCTGGGGCAGGATGGATGGGAAGATCAGATCTGTTTTCCGAGTTATGGATTTAGCAATAAACAATAACAATTTCCCCTTTATACAAGCAGCAATAGGGGAAAAGAAACAAAACCTTTGCCTCATTTCCTGTTGTGTTTTGAGGTTTCTTACCAACACTGAAAACCGCAGTTCATTACGGGAAGTTTTAGTGGTCTGTATCTGCCAGTGTTTTAAATCGGTACTCGCCATCAGCAAATGAGACATTTTTCCCTTGAAGTAGGAGGGGAATTTCACTCTTTTATGTGTGTTTTGTTTGAGAAATTGTGTATTCACGTTTCTTGTCAAGTTCCTCATTTAGAACATTTTGAAAAGCTACACTAACCAAACCAAGAATGTTTTGAATGCTTTTCCCTCAAGTCTGGTGAATAACACTTCACCATTAGCCTGCACTTTTGCTAGGAGCTTGGGAGCGTGGCAGTCTCTGGTCTGTTGTCAGCTTGGTTTTATGTAGCAGGCTCTTAATAGAGACACTAGTTTTCAGTAGTGCACTTGTTCTGGAGATACTTGTGAGATTGAGATGCTGGTAAATGTTGATAAAGTTCGTAGGCTTATGTTTTATACCAGTTAGGATGCTGGGATGGCATTGCATGAGGTGCTGTACAGGTATATGGGTAATGGTGCCTCCTCAAAATGTGCTGTAGCAGGCACATGTGAATTAGCAGGCAAATAAAACACAGCTTCTCCAGGGGAGTGGGATTTTCTTCAGAACTGATGGGAAGTGGCAGCCAAGCAGATTACCTGCTTACCTTCAGTTTGCTCTCTGCGTGCGTAAATGGTATGCAGTGGTTTCACCCATGCTTTGGAGAAGATGGGTTGGGATGCTGTGGGTGGGGGGGGTGGACCACCACCTCTTCCAGTAGGGTATCAAGCCTGAACTGAGCCCTGTCTTTTTCACTGCCTTGGTTGTTATTCAGAAGAACCCTGTTAGTCTTTCCTTCCCCAGCTGCCAGTCTTCAAAAGCAATAGGACTGGTTGTATTAATCTAATTTTGTGGAGTAACCCAAGATGCTCAGGTGAGAATAAGCACAAGAAATGTAGGGCTCCCCCAATGGCTGTGTGTTTCTGTCTAGGCAGCCAGGCCCTGCGCAAAGCCAAACCTCCCTCTTGGCCTGCTCTGAGAGTTTTGCACTGTGAGGAAGCCAGTTTATATGGTGTTATCCCTACAAGTTATAAGAACTGTCCTGCTCCCAACTTACTGCTAGCAAAACAGAGGCTAGCAAAAGTTGACCAGCAGCACTAGTTTGGGCTGCCCCAGCTGGATCTGGGTTGTTGGCCATGCCAGCAGAGGATTGCTGGGAAGAATGCCCCTTTTTGTGAACTTGTGCATGGACCACACAGATGTGGAGGTCTCTCTTACTCACTCGCTTGGATTTCCTGCATTACAGGGTTTCTCAGCTCAAGTCAGCCAAATCCAGCAGTGAGGCGGACAGCTGCAAGACTGGCACATCTGCAGTGTGCATGTAGGAATACATCTCCTGGCTTGTTGCAGCTCCTGGTGCCCCCTTCTCATGCCTGATCCCTCTTAAGGGATCATGGCTCCCGTATACAAGGGAATCGGACAAGGATGGATTCATTTCGAGGAACAGCAAGTGGAAATCTGTGACAAGCTGGTGGGGTCCTGCACTGGCTGTTTGTGGGACTGGTCATGGCTTGGGCAGACCCATCCTTGGATTTCATAGTGTTACCGTTGTGGAGTTCAGGTGAGGAGATGGGAGCAGAGGAAAGCAAGGAAGGCAGAGCATCTCTCTGAGCCTGGCTGCTTCAACACTTCTCATGCACACATGCGCTTCTATTTTTCCAAAACCCTTCTGCTGAAGTAGGAGTTGTTATTCTTGACAGAAACCACAGAAATAGCTGGTTGCAGTCCTGCTTAGTGCCACTCCAGTCAATGGACCGGTGCCCACTTTATGAAAGAAAATAGATTCATTCTATCTTTACTTTTTGCATAGGGATAGCAGAGCTAAGTTCAAATCACATCACTTCTCCAGCCTGAGGTGGACAGAAATGTGAGTGCTGTAACATGAGTAAACTCGTGGCAATTCTTCACAGCTTAACCATCTCTCATCTTACCTCAAGCACCATGTCAGAAAAAGCTGTCTCTGGGTCAAAGCCTTCAGAAACACAGAGCTCTGGGTGTAGTTTAAAGGTGATGGAAGCATCTCTTTGGAGGATGCAGGCTCCCAGGGGAGATGGCTTCCTCGCTATCCCTGTCTCTCTATGGAGACTGTGCGAGTCCCCAGGGAATGTGCTGCAGGCCTGGGCTGTGGGTTAAGTGCTTTAAAGCGCAGGAGACATGAAACAAACAGGCTGAGTGTTTCCGTGTGCCACCGAGATCCATTTAATTTGGTGACATAGAGAGGACTGCCCTTTGGCACCCTCCCTACCTCCCCAGCTGCTCACAGAAGGGATTAGCAGGGATTTCATTAATAAGCATGGTCACTTTTTTATAGCACAGCATGTCCTACCTGGGCCTTGCCCTATGTGGCGTTCAGCATTCAGGCTAATACCCCTTTACCTGAGCACAGGGAATGTCACACTGAGCTCTGAGTAACCAGGGCATGTAACACTGTGAATACACGGTCCAACAATCCCATTTCCCCTTCTAAAGTGGCTGTGGCCAGTATACATATAAGGGAAACAACAACAGGCTTTAGGAATGAGGAGGAAAAGGTCACACTTCCAGCCTCATGCTGTAATACGTTGATCCCTTTGCTTTAAAAGAGGATAATGCAAAACACCATCTAATGCCCCTTGAAGATGCAATGGGCTAGGGAGCCCTGCAAGTTTTTCAGTTGAAACTTGTAACATCCTTGGGGTTCGTGCCAGTTAACATGTTGCTGTGCCGCACGCTGCCAAGGAATAGGAGCTCTCCGAGTGCGAGGACACTGAAGATGCCACACAGAAGGCTCTGCATGCTTGCTGTGTTTTTCCATAGCAACAAATACGCCTGATTACAGCACATTCATATGCTCTATATAATGAGTATCCCATAGGAAATTTATTACTGTGCATCCTGCATCATAATTAGAAATCAGACCCGGGTAACTGAAATGAATTCCCCAGGCATAGGATGGTGGATATGCTCTCTGTGGAGAGGATGGTGGGGAGCAGGAGAGGAGTGTTGGAAATAGGCAACCCTGCTTAGTGCTCTGCTCCGGTGCATGTTGCTGAACTTCACAGCTGATCGCGACGTGTTTGTGCTGTCCCTGCCGGCAGCGTTTGCATGGGTGAGGCAAGGCGGGTTTGAGGGGTTTATATTCTCTTCTTCTAGCCTAATTCCTCTTCTGCTCCCCTCTGGCGGGGAGAAATTGAAACCAGCAGCATTTAGCCTTCAGTTTTGTAGGCAAAGCATGTTCTCCTGGGGGGGTTCTGCCATGGCTTGGTCCAATTGCTACCAATGTATCACTTGCGATGCTCTTAACTACTTCAGACAAATGCAGCGGTGCTCTAATGAAAACTAAAATTCGCAGGCATGCTTTCAACCACACAAATTTAATAAAGGATTTTATTCACCTGACAAATCTAATCAATTTTCACCAAATAAGGCAACATTCAGCCTCAGGGCTAGGAGTTCACTGCATGTGTAGTGTATACATCTTTCCAGGTTCAAAAGACTTGGGGTTTGTGGCTAGTGCTGAGTTCAAAATGAAATGTTACCTGCAGGTCAAAAGCTGTTTTCTAACACAGCAATTGTGTTAGGTATTTATACGGTTTATTCAGTGATGACAGGTATTAAGGTATCTACTAATACTTGCCATCAGCACCACATTAAGTTTTTTGTTTTTCATGTGACCAGGTCTGTTCAGATTCAGATAATGAAATTATCTTTCTTCTCTATTAACCTGTGTCACTTCAATTTATGCACAAATGCTGCCCTTGACTACAGTCTGATCTGAGCCCACAGGTTTTCAGTATACCTCCAAGGACAGAATTTTGTCACTATTGGTAAGTAGACTCTCAAAGGAGAGGCACAATTACATGTGAAATCTATGCTGTATATGTAGACTGTTTAATATTAATTACGCCTTTCTAATTAAACCAGCTGGCTTGATACCAAGAGGTTAATTTTCTGAGGCCTTGGTGAGATCACGGCCAGAAGTGGGCTGGAAATCATGCAGAGGAGAGATTTACCACACTGAGATTTACCATGTTACATCACCTGCCATTGCCAGGGGTATGTGGGAGTGAATCAGGTGCCCAAATGTAGGTGTCTTGTGACATTTGTGATGCCCTAGAGCATTTGCGACATGCCATATGGTTGGCATCTAGGATGCAGGAGACTTGTGCCCACTTGCAACAGGCGCAGTTGAATGTCAGAGTGGCAATAGCTGCTCATCAGGTACTCGAACTGTTCCCCAGCATACAGAAATAGCTATATTCAGTAAATGGGCTAATTTAATTTCTCAGAGATTGAGCTGACTTTAGGCACGGTAATTTGTATTTCAGTGAAATTATTTAGGATGGGCTCACAAAGGTTCACGAGGCTTCTAGCTCTTCCTTTCTATACTAAAAAAAACCAGGCAAACTGCCTGCTGCCAAATTGAACTGCATAATGCTCATGTAATGACTCTAAGTGATGCTGTTACAGCATTGGGGAAGGATAATATTTCAGACCATTACTATCAAACAACGTGCTGTGTGTGCATGTGTACGTGTGAAGCAGTCGCTGAGACTTGCTTCATCTTGGTTTGGGTTTTAATCCCCATTATTTATTTATTTATTTGGACACTACTTGGACACAAACCAGGTCTGGATCTGGGGCATGCAAAGGGCAGCCTACACCTAACCTTTGCAATGACATGAAGATTGCTATGGCTGCTTTATTATTTCATAGGTGCTTGAGTGCACACAGAGCTCACTTGCAACTCACTGTCATTAGTGAGCCTGGGGGATTCAGGGCTGGTGATCAGGGAGGAGAACTTGGCCTTACCATGGCTCTCATTGCAGTTACCTTGGAAATGACTGATTCACATGGCTGTGTAAGGTAAGAGAAAGCAATGCCAGATTTCTGGGAGTGACACTGCAAACGTTCTGGTAAATTAGCAGTATGTTTCATTTGCTATCAGCTGGGTCTTTTAACTTGGACTCACCCTGCTGATAAAGTCCTATCACAAGTGCATCACTTCTTCCCATAGCCTCCACGTTGGAGTTAAAGTTAAAATGAAGTAAGCCTCTTTTCTCCTGTCCAGGCCTGAATGCCAACATTTGTGCCAGTCCCACCGCTCTGCAGCATTAATGAAATCATTGGATGATATTCCATAAATTGAAGTGCCCCAAACACTCCATTGTAAACTTCAGATTAAGTCCTGCTCATCAGACCCCTGAGGTAAGGCAGCTTGGCAGCCAGCCCTAGTGCCCAGGAGGCACTTGCTGGGCACCAAATGGCATTTGTGCACTGTGTCCATAACTTCAGCTGCAAAAGGTCCTGCTTTCAGTGCCTGCCCCTGAGTGAATGTTGTTCAGGCTCTGGAGGGGATGCTACACCAGTTCCCTTGCCATTATTTCCCACTTTCTCCCCAAAGCAGGCAGGTCAGCTAGAAGTGAGTTTTCATCAGGAGGCATTGCAGAAAGTGCTAGGGTCTTGTTTGGCCCAGGCTGGAAAACCATGGTTTTTAGACTTCTATTTCTCCCTGCTTGCAGGCTCCCTGGGCAAGGGACAGGCTGTCATGTGAAGGGGAAGAGTAATTTTCACCCTCAGGTTTCCTGTTGTGGGGGCCAGCAGGCTCCCTGCTGCTTGACAGCAAATCTTGCTGTGATTTATTGTAACTGAGGGTACACAGCTCTGAAAGTTCCTCTCTCCACAGTCCTGTGAGGCTGCAAGTGAATTTTAGTCCTTTTCAGGGGATTTTCTTGATTACAGGCAATGAAAAGGCTATTACTGTTGGTTGGCACCTCTCCTGCTCAAGATGCAGGCAGTGACTGGGATGGGTCCCCAGGGCTTCTTCCAGGTTTGTGCTGCAGTGTCATCTTCTGAACTTGAAATGACCAAGGGATTATCATCCTAAGTGCTCCCTGGGTTAGGTTTTCCTTTGGGAGTCAGGTGTTGTTCTTAATAAAGAATGGCTAAGGCAGGGTGTTCAAGTGGCATCTTGTGCTGGTTCAAGGTGACTGGGTTGACACACCATAACCTCCAGCACTTACTGCAATGCTTATCAGGGCAGCAGAGCAGGCTTTAAAACCATCCACACATGAAACAAGTTTGGTGCAGCAAGAATAGATCAGAGTAGCAGGAGAGAGATGAGTAAGGAGGAGAGGATGGGAAACAGACTGATGTGTCTTTGGAAGGAGGAAAAGGATTGTGTAAAACAGACAGAGGAACAGTAGATCAAAGTAGCCCAGCGGGAAGAGGAGAAAGAGCAAACTAGTCATTGCATGAACAAAAATATCATTGTGGATGAGACGTGAAGGGAATGACAGGAGGAAAGGAACAGATTGAGAGTAAAAAGAAACATTTTCCTTTTTAGAAAAGAATAGAAGAGTAATGAAGCATAGGAGTGGGAGGTGAAAGGGAATTAGACGAAGAGGAGGAAGGTTGGAAATGAAGACGTACCAAAATGGTGTCTGTATGACCCCAGCGGAAGAGCAGCAGCTTGGAGATGTCTTGAAATTCACTTTGGGTGAATTATGAGACTTGGCTCAAGCAGGAGCTTTTTACTTTTGGGGAAGAACAACCCGTGTCTGCATTAACGTTGAGGTGGTGTCGGTGCAGGCTGCAGAAGTGAGTATGAGGCTGAAGCCCTGAAAGACGGAGCTGGGACTTGTTTAAGGTAAAGAAAAGGAGTCCAGGGAAGCACGACCAAGCTGCTGAGGCTCAGTGAACTAGGCGGTGTGATGACATTTGCCTTAAATCCCTGCCTTGTGATTAGGTTGCTCAAGGGAAGCCAAGATGCTTAGGGCTCACAACGGAGCCACGCAGCACCCTGTGGATGCGCTTGGGCTGCCTGCCCTTTCAGAGACAGGGCCAAGGGGATCGGAGCAGTTGAGAGGTTGAAAGTGATCCTTGGGAAATATGTTGAAGAGAAAGTAAATGAACCTGTCTGTGCACTCCTGGTGTTCGTGCCTTAACCCTCAGGCTCCTGCTCACATAGGCGACCCTCATACTCCTTCAAGAAGGGATGGAAATAAATCAGGTATAAGACAGAAAAAGGCGAAGGTAGGCAAGCAGGGAGAAAGAGGGGTCCTGCAGTGATAGGGCAGGGTAGAAGAGAAGGCGTGCATGGACAAGAAGACAAAAATACGTTTGTATGGTGGCTTTCCCTTTGAAGGTGTTTGGTCCTGTTTAGCGGCCAGGTGCATGTGTTTGTATAAAGCCCTTTTAACCCCCTCTCCACTGTGACCCCTCAGTTTCTTTGGGTTGTTGGAGAACCACTAGGAAGTGGGAATCGGCATGCAGCTCCCTAGAGGCTGGATGTACAGTCCTGGCTCTCTGCTGGGGATGGTGTGGGGAGCTCAGGGGCTGCACAGCTCTGCCCTTGCAATGTGCTTCAGTTACCCCGGCGAGTACCAGATGCAGCCCTCTGGAGAGCTGCTCAGGACAGCAAGAGGTGTAGCCAGCATCCTGCCAGCATTCACTGAGCAAACAGCACTCAGGCCAAGAGCACTGCTGATGAAGCTCGTTAAAGAGACAGTCTCCCAGAATCTGCTTTCCATGTTATCCATGTCTTTCATAGCCTGAGTTCATTTTTCAAGTTTGCCTGTTTATGAGCTTTGCAAAGCAGCAAAAAAAGCATTACACTGTACTCGTATTGACGTTTGGGTTAGGAATCTCAGTGTGTGAGGGAAAAAACCAAAAGACTTCAGGGAAGCTGATGCCAAGTATGAATACATCACTCCAACTCCAAACCATGTCTGCCACTATGCTGCCTGAAGCTGTAGCAACTAGAAAGTTGTGTGATTTATGTTCATATTGTGGTAGTCTTGCATTTAGCAGGATTTGAGCTGAGGCAGACAACTCAGTGAAAAAGCAGAGCTGATCTGGGGCAAGGACTTGTGTGTGGGCAACTGGTACCGGTTCAGTATGAGTAAAAACTCACCTGAGTAGTGCAGCAAGGGTAAGCCCGGTGAGGCTTCACTGAAGCTTTCATACATACTCAGTTCTAGTGGTCTCCTGCCTGGCTTTCCCTGCCTCTGGCTGCCTGCTCAGGGCATCCAAAGCCTGCCCTTTTGGCAGCTGGAGAGGCTCTTCCTCATGCTGCCCATCTCCTGCAGGCTCATAGGGTTAATGTGTCCCTCATTCATTAATCTCAGTGCCCGCTGCTCAGTGGACCAGATTGCTTTGTCCCCAGTTGTAACTGGCATTGTTAGTTTTTTGGCTCTAATAACCTTCATTTGAAGCTCTAATGGATATCCTCACAGATAACATGCTAATTTATTAGTTCAGCTCAACTGGGCTGCAGGATGAAAAATGATCGCGGAAGACTTTTAATAAAATTCAAAGGGATTTTATAGGTCTCAAGCCACTTTTAAAATGCAAAAGAAAGCCAAGAATAATACTTTGTTAACCCACATAATTCTATCCTGCCTAATGAGGTCTGGAGCTAATCCTCAGTGCTCTGCCCTGGGATCGGAATTATTGGAGCAGGTAAACACCACTAAGTACTGCACTGCATCTCTGAGTTTTGGTTGCATTGTCACTGTGCTCTCTGTTCCTTCCCTTTATGAACTTTTCATAAATCTCAGAATAGAGATGGTTATGTAAAAACAATGACCTGGCTTCCTGTAGTGACTTGCATGCAGGAGCCTCCTTTCCCCTCTGCTGCTAGGGTTTAGGCAGTAAGGAAAGCACAGTGTGCTGGCTTGAGGGAGCGCACATGTGTGTATTATCAGATTGCTTCTCCAAAGGGATGTAGAGAGGTGAGCTCATGAGAGCACTCTCATGAGCTGCAAAACTCATGCTGCAAGCTCAGTTTAGGCAACGTATTTCTTTCTTTTTCATGACAACTTCACTTTTCTTACTCATTTTTGCAGAGATATTTGCATTTGAGGGAGGGAGGGGAGTGGTATACACGTACAGGAGAGAAACAGTCTGCCTAATCCTGTTCAGGAGAGCACAAAATCTTCTAATCTGAATCTGGAAGGAACATTTATTCTCCCCTGTATTTTTTTTTCTTCTTGCTGTTAGAAACAATAAATGCAGTTTAACAGAGTCAGTGTCACAGAGGACAGAAAATACAGGCCAAGACTACCAATTACTATAAACAACTCCATTTGATTCAGTGGAGATACCCTCCCCTCGTCCATACTACCTCAAAATCCGCTTCCCATCTGAGAAACTGTAATAAACTTTGTCCCTGTCAGTAATATTTCAGCTCAGACCTTGCCACTAAAATCAAACAAAGCATTAAAAAAAGCCAGTCTTGTGAAAAGGTTCTACTGGATGCTCACGCAGTTCTCCCCTGCCCATACAGGTTGTGATGAAGCTTATTTTGGACTGAGTTACAAACGAGGCAATCAAACCCCAGTTCTTAGAACGGCTTGGAGAAGCTTATCTATGTTTCCAGAACGCTGTTTCACAGTAGGCTCCAGTTTGCTGGTTTCACAACGTGCACAAGGTCATAACCAGCAAGAAAACAAAAGTAGATGAGTGGTAGAGTTCATTACTACACTCACTAGCTCAATCCAGCAGCGTATGTCCTGTGTTCAGGGCAAGATTTGTTAAGAGTTTTAGGAATTATAACACTACCATTTTTTTCCTGGCTCTAAGCAGTGCTTGCTGCAGTGAGCAGCACAGTTCCATACGTGATTTGGATGCTAGATGGTTTTGTTGAACCAAGTGCCCTGGCAATTCACTTTGGTCCCATTACTCAGTGGTTACAGTGTGACCTGGGGAATAGCAGCCACAGTCAAAGCAGAGGAGGTTAAGGTGACCACTTATCAGAAAAATGTAGCTTCCCTGTATAGTTTGTTTACATGTATTTAATTGCAGTAAATGAGCCAGGCAGAAGGTGGGGAAGATCTGAAACACAGAGGAATAATGAATGGACTCATGTTTATTTAAGCATTCCTATCTTTTGAAGCTGGGCTTGGCTTAGCCTGAAGACTCATGGGGATTAAGACATGTTTGCAAAGCCACTGGTAGTCTTCCCTATCCCACTTTTCCCCCTATAATGCCAAATCCTGTATCCCCTTGCAGTGGGGTCTAAGCACTTCTACATCATTTTCTTTGCCTAAAATATTCTGCCTTGTGGTCTGCGCTGTTCACTCCTGTGAATTCCTCTCCCAGCCTTTTCTGTGGGTCTCAGTAAGCGTCACTCTTTCAAGCTGGTTTATCTTCTACCTTCCTTTAATTTGAGTGCACTCAATGCCTGAGTATGTAAACTGGGTTGTATCACTGCAGGCCAGCTGAAACCTATACATTTCACAAGGGTGGAATTAATTCAACAAATCCCAACCCCCAATTAATTTTTGGCAAAGTTCTGAATGTTCAGCATAAAATGAATCATTTTCTTAAGTTTTCCTATTGATGAATCTACATTTAACATTGAACTACCCCTTGAATTGAAGCCTGGGTTAGGTGCAGTAGGACAGTTCAAAATGGGAGAAGTGGCCCCATGGCATGGTGGCTTATACCTTGCATGGGGTAACTGCTGTGGCTGGGATGGATCTTGCATGGTGGTTGCTTTTGGAGAATGGTGTAAGAGCTTCACCTGCACTTGACTGATGGGCACTAATTAGCCTTGATTTCTCTGATGGGCCTCATCTGCAGCTCTAGGAGCCCATTTCAGCTCTGTTTGGAGCCATTCTCTTTTCCTGGTGATGCTGCAGAGCGTCTCCAGCTTTGCCATGGCTCTGCCTGGCCATGGGCCCTGCTGAGACAGGCGCTACCCATGGGTGATGGTTTATCTCAGCCTTAACTGCGAGGTGTCTGATGCCCAGGGCTGGGGCTGTCTCAGCAGCTGCCTTGGTTGTTACCTCCTGAGGCAAGAGCCTTTGTTTCTCTGAGTATTGCTTGAGTCCCAAAAGATGCTCCTGACCCAGTAACTGAAGACCCACAGAAATGCTTTATCTGTCAGGTAAGGGGATATTGTTATCCTTGTTTTATGGATGAAGATAGGAAGCGTATTTTCCTGGCTGTTGCTGATTTTTATCGGTTGTCTTCATTGTTATGACTTACTATGGTTGTCATTTTCTGTTTATAGAAATTATGCTTTCAGCATGATTCTCATATACCTGCAGCTGAACAGCCCAGTATGGGCTGTGCTGCACCACCCTGTCTCCCTCTCTCCACCATATGCTTCCCATTTGGGCCCCTGCCTGCTGTGCTGGGAGGTTGCCTGCATCGCGTCCCTCACTGCAGTGCTCAGGCACGCAGGACGTGATGCATCCAGCTTGTTTTACATTGCTCCATAAGAAGCACGTTTGCTGCCCACAGATCCCAGTTAACACCTCTGAGGCTGCAGTGATGTATCATGGGCTTCTTTCATTTCCAAGTCCCCTTTTCTCCCCATCATGTAAGACAAAAGGAGAGCAAGCAGTGAAAGTTGTCAAGCATGTTAGTTATGATTCGATCAGCTCTATTTATGATCTCATGATTCATGTGTCTGGCTTGGAGAGCAGCGGTGCTTATGGGCTTGTTTTGTTAACAAGCTCTTACAGGGTGGCTGCTGGAGGGAGAAGCCTTGTGGTAGCTGTGGCTGTTGAAGGAGCTGCACAAGGTGACTTGTGAGGTGTCTCGTTCCTGTGATTTACCCTAGACCCAGGTAGACTTTCCCCCTTGATGGTCTCTCCTGCGGTTTATGTGGTCTCTGCAGTCAGGGATGAAGCTGGGAAGAACTCATGTTCCTGCGGAGGTTTCCTACTCTCCCTTGGTGCAGAGCCAACCCTCACTGGCACGTGTGAGGCTGCTGGGCTGCAGCCCATGGGTGGTCTGCAAAGCAATCCGCCAGACCCTGGCACGTCGTTAGCTGTGGCTCCCATAGAAGGTGCATTGCACACATGGCTGGTGTGTGCGTGCCCTGTTTGTATTCATTTATCGGTCAGCCTTGAGGGGCAGCCACAATAATTAACTACCACAAACCCTTGAGACCCTGCTCTGTTGGATACAGCTCCTGTTTTTAGGTGCCCTACAAGCGGCTGTGCTGGTCAGACAGAGCTGGGAGTATCGCTATCTGGGTATGCAAAAGGTCGATCGTCAAGGTCTGTTCCTAATGTCTGGCATCCCAAGCATTTACTGTGTCTGTCTCAAGTCAGGGACTGTTCCAACGTCTTCAGTTAACCCAGGGTTGAGTTCAGTTCCTATTAAAACTCACAAGAAGATTCCCATATGTTTCTGTCGTAACTGGACTTCCTCGTTTGCCTTTTGCTTTCTGAAGAACAGATTAATCACATGGGATTTGCAGGGAAAAACTAAGCTGTGCCAAAAAATGTAGACAGCTTTGCAAGAGCAGACATTTCAGATTGCTGGGCTGCAAAAGACCTGGAGCAACTTGCAAAGCTCTGAAATGGAAATATTTTTCCTCCTTTTAAATAATGATTTTTCTCTCCCCCCCCCCCCCCCAAGTTATTCTGGAAATGCAAATAAATAAATAAATGTGCTGTGATAAGGGGTTGTTATTTGGTTTGGGTCGTGGTGGCAGTGGTTTAAGATAACTGGTGTCTCCTGGTGTTGGGAAACTCTGTGCCCCGTTTTGCACAGATTCTGGCTGTTGTGCTACTCCTTTGGTGTCCACTGCGCTCAGACAGGACCCTCAGCCTCTGTCTGATGGTTTCCTGGTGGAGCTGGGGGAAGACCTTTCTGGAGCAAAGTAACTCAGATGTGCTAGTGTACATCAGCATGCTTGCCACATGAGAAGAGCACTGCTTATACAGGGAATTATCTGAGGGGCACTAAAGCAGTGAATTTCAGACCCCTTTGGATGTTCCCTGCTGTGGTGGAGCAAATGGTGCTGCAAAAGCTGTCGAGCCAGGCAAACACCTGCTGGGCTGTGAGTGGGAGAAGTGAGCTGAGCTTGCCTGGCTGCTGGCTCCCGGGTTTTAAGGTCCTGACATGAGGTCTGCAGTGTCAAAGAGCAGGGCAGAGAAGGGAAGTGAAACAAGAGATAGAGAAGCTGAGGGAGTATTTTAAACAAATGGGTGGCTCTCTTATGCTGCAAGAGGCCATGACTGGACTCAGGGCAGTGCCCCGCTCTGATTTCCCCGATCCTAAGACACAACTTCTTTCAGTTCCTTCTAGGCACTTGAGAATAGGGAAGACTGAATACAGGCTGCAATGGGCCTTGTAGTCACCTTCCTGAAGAGCTGCGTGCCCCAGGCTGGTCAGAAGTCCTCCTGTTGCATGCACCTGCCCTGCTCCCTGGGATGCAGAAACTTCAGATAAAGGCAATCTGAACAGCAGAAGGCCCTGAGAAGACTGTGTCAAAGTCAGGCAATCATCCCACTGCCTTACAGGCTGTGTGGGTGTCAGTGTCAGTTTGTTCCCACGATTGCAGTGAAGGTTAGCTGGACTTTATTGTGATTCATCTGGTGGGGTTTTTTGCTGTTGTCATTCTGCTGGTGAGTGAACCCCTGCAGCAGTACATGGGGAAACTCTGCCGTGCCTGGCAGTGCATGACTGTGACTTGCACTCCCCATTTCTACAATAAAGGATGTCATCCCTCGCTGAGGGCTGTGAGGAAAGCTGTGTAATAACTGCTCATCTTCCTATTTCTGAGTGTGTCTGAGAAAGGGAAACAGCATCTGATCCCTCTGTTCTATAGACTTTTGGGTGAAGTTTTTGTGGGTAGAACTATATCCTACAGCACCTACCTGAAATAGATAGGAGACTATTTTATACTTTCAGATATCCCTGCAAAGAAGTAGCAGAAGTAGACCTAGGAAAGCAGGATGTAATTTAGGGGTGTCATTTCCCTAAGCACATGTCCAGCTTGCCTTAGAGTATTCTCCTAGCATTTATATGAGCACATTCCCCTTTATTTATTTATTTTTTATTATTTGCCTAATGGTTTCAGCCTTATCACAAAGTATGATAGCAGCGTATCACTGAAGTACAGCTTCCAGTCTGCTGTTGCAGTCACGAGTAAGTAGTAAATAGCCCATTCTGAAAAAATTAATGATACTTTTATCAGTCTGTCCATGGCACCCCTATGTCCAATTTGGGATTGATTTCTCATCAGAAAAGCTAATAACACTAAGCACTCTGCTCTTAGACTCCACAGAAACGTAGGGTATGTGACCTCTGTTTGCCCCACAAGCCTGGTACTGTGCTGCTCTATCTGTTGCCAAA